TTAAAATTTACTGTATAGCAATAAAATGATACAAATACCCTTAACATAAATTTGGTTCAACATGGAAAAAATGGGCAAAAATGATATTAACCATTTGATGCAAAACGGTGCAATGGTGTAAGGGTTGGAGATGCCATTTAATATGCAGTAGTAGTACAAGTTGATTTCAAGTCTTTTGCACGTTTTAACATCGTGTTAATCATCTTATATAAAAACTTAAATTATTAAAATTTAATCTTTCAGTAAACATTCATAATTAAGTTCAATAATACAAAGCAAGTATGATAACTAAGAAACTACAAAACCTTAATAAAACCCTAAATAGAGGAAAATACTAATTGTGTATTTGGGAGAAATTATAAGTTACATAAGTTATAAATTTATAGAAATAAGTGAGGAGTAGCAAGTGAATACTATAAAATGTGTTATTAAAAATTAAATTAAATTAAATAAAAATGAACTTTTGATAACGAGAACCAAACGTAGACCAGGGTCTGTTCGATTAGTAAAAGTGGAAAGACTTTTCAATTCCATGTAAGTTAGAAAATAAAAATTCAAGTATTTCATGTGAATTCATTTTTCATGAAATTGGCAAAAAAAAAAAAAGCTTAAAGTGGTTATACCTTGAAATTCGAACTCTATTTCTACTTTCATATCAACATCTGAAGTAAAATTTAATTTTTTGAATGTGAAATTTTTCATGAAATTTAAATCAATTAAACGTACCCTTATTGTAATATGCTAAGCAATGCGCATCTTAACAAACCAAATATTATGTTAGTAATAATAATTTTAGCCCATGTTTGGTATACATTCTTTCAAAATTAATTTTCAACCATACATTCTCCAATAACATAATATTTTTCATTACATTAATAATTTTTCCTTACTTTTTAATCACATATTTTCTATCATGTCACTATTTAAAATACATTCTTTCTTCAATAATATATATTAAACACACCCTTAATAAATTGGTCCACAACGTGTAATGCACATGATCATCTGGAGAATCTTATGAAGTTGCTTTATGGGCCCTGTATTTTCAAAACATAAAAATATAATATTAACCATTTGATGCAAAACGGTACAAGTTGATTTCAAGTCTTTTGCACGTTTTAATATCGTGTTAATCATCTTATATAAAAACTTAAATTATTAAAATTTAATCTTTCAGTAAACATTCATAATTAAGTTCAATAATACAAAGCAAGTATGATAACTAAGAAACTCCAAAACCTTGATAAAACCCTAAATAGAGGAAAATACTAATTGTGTATTTGGGAGAAATTATAAGTTACATAAGTTATAAATTTATAGAAATAAGTGAGTAGTAGCATGCGAATACTATAAAATGTGTTATTAAAACTAAAATTTAATTTTGACATTTAAATTATAATAAAATTGTAATTCAGAACAATCAAGCACTATAACATGATCACACTAATTCTTTCACTCTAGCATCAAGAGTTTTATAAAATGAAAATAAAAGCAATTGTTAGTGTTCGACTTAGTTCATGTTTGGCACAATTAAAAGAATAGATTTTAATAAATTTTAACTACAGTTGATAAATGTATAATTGAAAAGTTGCAGATTACATTAAAAATTAAATTAAATAAAAATGAACTTTTGATAACGAGAACCAAAAGTAGACCAGGGTCCGTTTGATTAGCAAAAGTGGAAAGACTTTTTAATTCCATGTAAGTTAGAAAATAAAAATTCAAGTATTTCATGCGAATACATTTTTCATGAAATTGGCAAAAAAAGTTTAAAGTGGTTGTACCTTGAAATTCGAACTCCATTTCCATTTTCATATCAAACATTCGAAGTAAAATTTAATTTTTTGAATGTGAAATTTTTCATGAAATTTAAACCAATCAAACGGACCCTTATTGTAATATGCTAAGCAATGCGCGTCTTACCAAACCAATATGTTAGTAATAATAATTTCAGCCCATGTTTGGTATACATTCTTTCAAATTATATTCTTTTAAAACTAATTTTCAACCACACATTCTCCAATAACATAATATTTTCCATCACATTAATAATTTTTCCTTACTTTTTAATCACATATTTTCCATCATGTCATTATTTAAAATACATTCTTTTTTCAATAATATCCATCAAACACGCCCTTAATAAATTGGTCCACAACGTGTAATGCACATGATCATCTGGAGAATCTTATGAAGTTGCTTTGTGGGCACTCGTGTATTTTCAAAACATAAAAATATATGGTCAATAATTAAAGGAAAGTTGACAAAAGAACCACTAATAGGGTAGTTAATGAATAATGATATTGATAGTCAGCGATCGCAATAATCATTCTATATGACAGTTTATTATTTGAAGCATTAATTTTTTGCATTCTTTTGTCTCAATTAACAAGCTAAAGTTTCAAATAACAAGTTGCCACATAAAGATTATTACTGTAATCGCTAATGTTGAATAACATTACTCATAATTATAATACTCACCTTTCTTTTGATGAAAATTTGCAACAGATATCTCAAACATTTCAAAAATATGTCTTCAAGTTCTAAACCTTCCAATCTTCGCACATAAATCCCAAATCTTTTAATAACTATGCATGATCCAAAAGACCTCTGAACGCTTTCGTTCAAAGAATCGTCAATTGACCAAAACTTATTCTCCAAACCTTCTAGTACAGAAGGCGAAACTAGATGAGAAATCTCCCTTGGTGGTGGTGACGGCGGTGATAGGGTATAGAGCTGGTAGTAGTGCTTTTAATTGATGGAAGTATCTATCAACTTACTACCATTTGGGCCAATTTTAGAATTAAAGAAAGATTACTGTAGATTAATGTGGAAAGTTTTGCCATGATGTGCATTTAAAACGATTGTGTTGCGGGCACATAAAATCGACATTTTGAAACAAACACGGCAGATAGCCGTATTCTTGTCAAATGGCAATGTCGGAAGTGTTGAGCCAATTATTCAGACAAATGCCATTTATTAGGCATTAAGGAACAATTGTGAAAATGATTTCTTGTTTGTTATTTAAGAGTTTAAACGTGTCGAATATCCACTTTATTGGACACGAGATGGTCCACTACCACATGAATATTTATTTCAATTAACATGTCTTAGGTTAATTATATATATCGTATCTAGTTAATATGAAAAATTAACGTTATATCACATGATTTAACGTCCTTCTTTCCTCAATAAAACCCACTTGCATGCGATTGAGTTTTGAAGACGACCTCCAAAGCTTCTTGTAATTTTCTTACAAGGAAACCACGACTATCATTGATTTGCTCAATAGGCCAACTCCTATACTGTAAACGGCCAAGCTCATTAAACCATGCTTATATTGCATACACTTCGACATTCATTTTAAATATATAAAGTTGATCGAAGATGCCCTTGAGATTCTAACATCCACATAAGCCAACATATTCGTGGATGAAAAACATGTACTAAATAAACGAGAAATGTACAATAACCATTTAAGGCAACCCAATTTAACCTTGCCATACTTACTATATGAACTGATGCCACAAGCATGAAGATCATTTTTTTTTATTATATTTAAAAGTTACTTTTTGTTTATAAGTACTTTTTAAAAATTATAGAAAAAGTAAACTTTGAAAATTATGATTAACAAAATAAATCAATTAAAGGTAAATTCAATTTTAAGCACTACTAAAATATATGAATGTGGATTGTAGTTTATTGGTTGGGAAGATTGTATATCGTAAATCTGTGATATTGATGAGCTTATGCTACATCGCACTAAAGCCATATGCTTAGGGGCCATTTTCCTCACAAAAAGTAAAAATAAAAATGCATTAATTAGTCATCCGAAGACTCCATTAGTTGTCTTAAGTGATAAATGACCTAATTTGCCCACGTTTGGACCCCTTGACATTATAATATATTTGTCTCTCTATTTTTTTAACCACTCATTCTTCAATAAAATAATATTACACGTAAACAAAAAAAAAAAAAAATCTTCTTTTTCAACCACTCATTCTCCAAATAAATATTATTTCAAAAATTATAATTTCAAATAATAGAGGCTAAACGAGGGATTAATATTATCAAATGTGACTACCCGCAAGGTAAGAGGAGAGGAGTCTAGGGGAGGCAATAGATCGAGTCGAGTTGGCTCGGCCCGTTGAAACCTGAAATCAACTTATGTCCAAATCCTAAAATCGACTCGGCCCTTTGGCTCGTGGTGCTTATGGACCTAGCCGCCCACAAGTTGACTTATTTTTATTTTTATTTTTTGAATAAATTAACAAAATAAACTCAAGAAAGAGCAAATATTTTTTTTAAGGAATTACTAAATATGTCAAAAAAATAGAGGAAAAACAAGTCACTTGTGAATAATGTGGACTCTGCCCGGCCATTGACTCGTCTTAAAATGAGCTTGAACTTCCCATGTGTTGAGCAGGGCAAAGCTGAGCCGACGAGCGGCTCGACCTCACAATCACCAAGTTTAGACTCCATTAGTCGGATTAAGTGAAAAATGACCCCGATTATCAAATGTGACTACCTGCAGGGGAGCCTATCCCTGCCCCCACATAACCAAGTTTACACCTCCAATCATACATATGTATAAGAAAACAAATATCATAATATATTTCTCTCTATCAATAGAAGAACTCCAATCTCAATATGATTTTGATACAATTATTTAATTGTGTACAACAATGTCTAGTCTAGTAGATTTTAACATTCCTTTCTTATGATAATTGAAGACTTTTTTATTAATTCTTACCATGGAACACGTCCTGCAAATTTACAGGGCATAAATATGTACTTACGCTCATTCCTTTCTAATGATAATTGAAGACCTTTTTATTATTTCTTACCATGGAACACGTCCTGCAAATTTACAGCGCAAAAAAAAGTACTTACGCTCTCTTCTTTCACTGAATAAAGCTTATTTTCCTCTTGGCACATCAAGTTCATTGATGACTCGAAAATCTAAAGTTCCTCACTTGATTGATCGGGTGACAAAAGTTTTATTGAACTTGAACGACAGGAAGAATTAACATATCTCGAATCTTGCCAGGGTGATTGTTCTGGACATCTTTCAACACAGAAGCCTCAATATCTTTACAATCACAATTCGAGCATTTGAGGAACTTTTCTCCATTTCTGTTATCCGAGCTGGCATTTCTTTTGTGAAACCATTTCCGGGATGTTTTAGGCCTCGTCTCACTAATTGCAACAGGTATGTCATTTGGGAATAGATCACCGAGTACGAAGGCATGAATAATAGTTGTTACGAGCACTGATGAAACTGTAAGGGTAGCCACAGCACAGAGGATGACGGTTAAACTTTTGGTTACTACGTTGTTAACCACGACCGAGTATCTGATATTGGCAACGGCAGCTCCAGTCACAGGGAAAGTGTAAGCCCACCATGCCAATGAGAACCTGTAGATATAATTGGGCAAGTATGAAATTTGAGTATCTGACTAAAATAGAGTGGCTAGATAACTTAAAATGGTGCCATGAGTTTGAAGTCAAAATATACCTGAAGCCTCGGAAGAAATTAATGCGGACATCCTGGAGAAAGAGCGAAAGAAAATGAAAATAAGTTAGTCACATATACCCAGTGGAGCACGTTATGATTTAACCTTAATCCCAAATTCTGAGAAGAATAAAACAAAAGGAAATCAGAAGTAACAAGAACACAGATTTATAGCGTTTATCCTTCAAAGTTAGAGCTACTTCGTTGATTTTTTACTATAGTGAGGAAGAAGATTACAATGTTTTTGCACACGTCTCTTAGTCTTTTCTCGCGCATGCAGGAAAAGGTTCTACCTCAGATTCCTTTATGCATCATAGGAAACTAGAACAACCTAATATAAAATACGAATGCCTAATTGAAGAGTATAGTTGTTAATTAGGCTCTGTATGGAACATAGAAACTATTAATGATGCCTTGGCTATTGAAGCAACAGGGTTCTCCTTAACATTAGAACCACATATTTTATGTGCATTTCATAATCTCGTGTCTTTGATTAAATGATGACGTGTGTACTTAGATACAAGGCTAACAGTTAAGGTTTAGAGAGACTAACCAGGGAGAAATAAAGGAACAAGGCTAAGAAGTAGGCAAGTCATGCTCCATAGTCGAAGGATCCTTGAATCCTCGCCCAAGCCATAGAGGCTACACTAGGTGCAGCAACGAACAGAAAGAAAACTGGTGGGAGCTCTTTAGGGAGTGTCGCGTTTGTTGGAAGTCTCTGGTAGAGAGTTACAAATAAGAGTGTAATGAGCCAATCCAACAGCAAAGAAAAAAATAGGCCCTTCTTTTAGCTCCATGGCTGCACCAAGCAATGCTCCAACAAAGTTCCCAACAATTGGGAGATGATTCGAGGGATTGGCTACCTTAGAAAGCCTTCGTTTTCCTCCCGACATCCACTGCCCATAGATCTTAAGCTCGAGGCAAAAGACGGGGCCATAAGAATGTACCAAAGAGATTGGTGCAGCTTTTGAGAAACTGATGGAGGAATTCCAAGGGCCAAAAACGAAAGGGCCATCCATGGAGCAAAGAAGAAGTTAACACGTACTGGATGGTAGTACACACGAAGAACTGCCTCAAAGTAGAAAATCACTTTTAGACAGTAAATAAAAGAGATAATTACCATGAGAGCGAGAAATGCACACCACAGGACCAGATTTATGTCGAGGGTTACGGGGAGAAACCTTGTAGAAGAAGAAGTTACCAGGGCTTTCCACATTATGGCTTGGCTGCTAACGCCAAGACAAATAGCAAAGGAAATGATAGGGAAGCATAGAAGGAACGGCCTTTTTTTACCTTTTGGAAGAAGTATTTCTTCATGTTGTGAAGAATCTCTGATACCAATTGTTGAGAATTCAAAGATCACGTATTGCTCGATATCACTTGATAAGAAATCAACCATCGGATTGAGATGTTGAAATTATATGGCACTATAATGAAGTATTTAATCACAAACAAAAGAATAAAAGAAGATAAGAAAATATGACAGAGAAATTAGAAAATTTTATTGCACCACAAATAATGAAAATGGAGAAATATTACAATGATCCTAAAAGCTATTTATCACTTTTCTCACTCTATTCTCACATCATAAAATTATAGAGAAGAGCCAAGTATACATAAGCAACTATGTAGGGCGACGTTCAAACCCTAATAGATGAGTTGTAGTTAAAGTAGAATGTCAAAAACGTAATAAAACACGAAAAGGACCTAGGTCGGCTAACCCTGTCACTTGAACGATAAGCTAGCGACAGGTCCATCGCTCGAGCGCCAAGCAGCGACCAAGTCTCAGGAGAAAACCTACAGGTGTTGCTCGAGCGGCCAGCTAGTGGTAGGCTAGCGAAAAATAGTATTCCAAACTTGAATTTCAACATAATTTCAACTTGAATTTCAACATCTTCAAGTCCAATACAAATTACAATTTCCAATAAGGCTTCTACATAGAATTTCAACTTGAATAAGACTTCAATAATATTCCAAACTGAATTTCTCTTGACGAGCATTTCAATTAAAATTCTTCAATTATTTGAACAAGAAATTCGGGTCACACCCAAATTCTAACACGTCATGAGCCTGTTAAGGAAAAAATATGACCATTCAAGAGTGAGGAAAGAATATGAAACAATTTGAACCAGAAGGTTGACAGTAAAAACACGTACCCGCAGGATATCCAATTTCGGCCCCTCCAATGCATCAAAGTATCGGTTTGCTAGTAAAATCTCAATTTCTGTAGGCCGCTGAGGCTCAAGGTCTAGCTCAGTTTCCCTACGCTTTCCACACAAATTTGTTATTTGCCCCTCAAGTTTTCTGGACCATGTTTTGAAAGAGTCAAATCTTTTATCCTTATGCACATTGATTCTAGGATTCTTAGGTGGAAGGTCTGAATCATTGGGAAATTTTCCACTAGCAATGGCCTCACTAAGCACTGGACCTTATGGAATCGGTTGAGAAAAAAAATTGGTATGTCTATTATTTATGGATGCAATGGCAAATTTGGGAATATCATGGCCCAAGATTGCTTCATCATTATATCCAAAGAGACCCTTCTCCATATTATTTAAATGAACTCCATGTCCTCTTCCACCGTACGATTACCAAACAAAATGCATCCTCTGAGAATTAGAAATATCATTTTGCCCTTCTACAGCAACTGTTTCATTTCCCCGAGATGATAAATTATGAAGAATTATACCAGTATTCAGCTGCGGACCCAACACCCGACGAGGGGGCGCGGTTGCGTGTACTGAGCTCCACCGAAACAGTGCCAAATCACAAGGAAAGAGGGAGACCGACTGGGAGAGGATTGGATTTGGGTTTTGCTTCTCCTGGCTGTCTGGTTCATCTTCCTCCCCTCTTTTTTTTCGTTTTGTTTTGAAATTGGGCTTGGGCGGCCCGTTCCTTTTTTTTTTGTATTTGGGCCATTTGTGGGGCGGCCCAATTGTTAATTATATGTAGGTCCAGCCCGTCCGATTTCCAAAACTCCAACTCCAATTTTCTCCTCCTCGGCAACGCCTATCGATGAATCCTCCACCACCACCGTCTACCAGTCCAGTCAGCTGTTGTGCCGGTGCTGGAAGCCGAAAGGTCCAGTGACCGACCGATCGCTCGTCTGTCAACCCGTTACCCATGAGTTCTCCGTTTTCGCCTTCTCAATTTTCTGCTTTATTGTATTTTATTTATTTATTTATTTTTGGTTTTGGTGTTATTTTCTAATAATGAGGCTGAAATCAGGATTTATCATTTATGTTGTATCATGTATGAATAATGAATCAATTGACGATTTGGCAT